CATTGCTTGTGACTCCTGTGAGACCAATAGACCAGTATGCTGCTGCAGCACTTGCTGCTGCAGGGTTAACCGTTGCACAGGCTGCGGTACTTGCGGCTGTTCTATAGCTGCAGCTGCTGACAGTGGAAGTGAAGAAGGTACAGGAATCTACCCACTACAACCTGCTACTAGACCGCCTGATAGGGGCATGCCAAACTGAGGAGAAAAGGGTTGTCCTATGGGTTGCGGCGTCACAGTGGGACCTGCAACCGTAGGGGGAGCTACAACATACTGTGGCTGCCCGATCTGGGGTCGTGGCGCCCACAGTGCGGCCAAAATCTGATTCTGACTAGCTATCAGTGCAGCCATCATCTCTTGTTGTACAACTTGTACTTCGACAACACTCAAAAGGGAGTTCCGAAGGGACAACATTACAGGATCGAGGGCTGGCTCATCTATAGCTTCTAACTTGCCTAACTCCTCTCCCCTTGCCTCTAGTCTAGCTTTTCTAAGTCTTGCTCTTTCTCTCCTACCTTCTACCTTTTGTAACTGGCGCCGTAACTGTGTGTGGAGGGCATCTGCCTGTTGTATCTCGTAATCCTCATCTAACATGGGCTGCTGCTGGATGACCTGCAAGCCAGCAGACTGACTTACGAAAACTTGGAAAAAACTCTGAATGACACCTGACGAAGAGGCCTGAGATGAGGCCTGTGACATGGAAGAGGCGGTAGCCATAGCTGCCTCAGCGTTTGCTCGAGCGTCTGCTTCGAGTGCTGCTGCTTCCCTACCCCTCTGCAATGTCGTCCTCTCTCTAGCTTCCCTCCGCAACCTCCTTTCCTCTCCTTGATCTAACTCAAGGAAGGTGATCGGTCGACTGATTGCCCGCCTTCTAGTGATCCTCCTATCGTCTTGGTCTAGTCCCTCAACCCCACTGTCATCTCCACTCATGAGCTACACGTGGTCTACGATCCGCACTAGTGTCCTCGCTGGGACCTACCGCAACATGGCAACCAACCGATTAAAATAAAATAAAATAAAATAAATATTCGGTCCAACTTTGTCAGAAAGTAGTCAAGCAGTAACAACAAATAATCTTAGATTCCTACGAACACCTCTATTCCTACTTTTGACTAGTCTGAGGCGGATTGCAATACAGCAAGGAATGCATACTACCTATGTGCAACTGTTTGTCAATTGTTAAACGTCTATCACAACTAACTAATAAAAAAAATAAAAATCATTTGCTGGGTTTGCATTCAAAATGGAAAATTTTCAGTAGTACTTAATTGTACTGTTCGTATCTTCCCTCCCTTTGTATCCTTCTCGAGTAGTCACTTAGTGACGCATGCTCAGGGGAGCAGTGCGCAGTATACCAAGGATCCACAATGTGATGAAAAGGACTGAAGTGGACAATGCACGATCAGCGAAGCATCAACAAGCAGTGTACATTCCGATACATACAAGATGGCGCAAATGGCACAGCGGAAGATTGAAATAGAAGATCTGATCTGATTTGGACTGACCCGACATCCATCATACATCACACATGGGCGAGAGAGGAGGGACCGCAATCATGGAAGGAAGGTCCCTCCTTCGTACACACACATGGGGAGAAACCACGGATGAGAGATGGGGGAGGGACAGGCGAAACAGGGAGGAGGCGAGAGAGTAGACCAAGATCGCAATGACGAAGTCCAAAATAGTATCTTGCCGAATGTCCAAAAAATGTCTGTATCAGAAATGTCGAATCAGATCTAGGGCAGTGCGCCCGTTACAACCCCAGCCTGAATCCCTACTGATAACCTCTCACACTCTCAAATTCGAAGAAGAAGAGATAAGGAGGAAGGAGGGAGAAGAGAGAGAGAGAGAGAGAGAGAGAGAGAGAGAGAGAGAGAGAGAGAGAGAGAGAAAGAGAGAGAGAGAGAGAGAGAGAGAGAGAGAGAGAGAGAGAGAGAGAGATGGAGGAGGAAGAGATGACGAAGCCCTCCTCGCTATCTCACCTGCAGGTAGCTGTCACTCGAACTGACTTCGTCCGTTGTTGTGTGCAGGTACCGCGCGGAGCCCAGCTATGGCGCCAGGTAAGCTCGCCGACTGCAGGTATGGCCTCCGCCCTCTCCTATCTCCTCTAATCGCTACTCCCTACTCCTCTACCTAGCGCAACATAGCGCAACCTCCAACCAGCAGCGTGTCGCTCAGAAGTGGGCGACTTCAACTGTCTCTGGCCCAGCCGCTGCCCAACTATTTGTAGCGCTGGGCCGCTGGGCCTACCTGGTGTTGTGTGGCCTACAACGGCCCAGGTGGTCTGGGTCCCTACMGGACGTCCAGACCTTGCTGCTGCTGCAGCATGGCGCAGAAATGCGCCTGGACTAAAAACGGCCTCCTACCGGTGCACCTGGCCCAAGGCGTTGTCTTGGGTCCTGCAGGACCGAAACGACGCCGGTTTGGCGCCAAAATGCGCCTGACCTTGTTTCGGGCCTGCCTCCGGTGTACCCAGTCCCAAGGTCCGGCCTTGGGGCTGCAAGTCCGAAACGACACTTGAACCGACAGAAATAAGACAGCACACACCACAAAAAAAAGGGGTAAGTAAACGAAAACCTTCCTACCTACGTGCTGCCTAGGGCCTGGAGGGCCGCCATGGGCCTTTAGGGCGCGTGCTGGATAGTACGCGGCCTGGGGGGCCCTCAGCAACCATTGGGCCCCTCAAATGGGGCCCGTGTGCAGGCTCAACATGCAACACTTATAGTCGACGTCCTGAGCATATGGTTGAGCAACGTGTCTGAAGGTGTGCAATCCGGCCCACCCCTGTGCCCCAAGTCTATGCTAAGCCGACGAGGCTTGCAATTTTCTTTATCCTCTGCAACGAGCCTTACATCCGGTTGATATGGCTGATCAAGAGGCAGTTTAAGGACAGCCCCCAAGGTCCTCATAAATTATTTAACGTCGCAAACAGGACGACGATCACAACCAGGATTCAATTCGAATCCGCCAGAAATATTTGTAGACGGTCTGGTATGCGTCTCGTGTAGGACTGGCCTGCCCAACACGACCTCTATCAGCGCTACAAGCATAACCAAGGACTTGAGGCAAAGCATGTGTGTACTAGTCCCAACGGGTTGACGTGGTGATCGTGACCCGAGTGCTTCGTCCAGGGCCCTTCAGAGGCTTCGCCCGTCTCCCACCAGCTTGCTGTCCAGAAAGAATGTCGACTCTCAAGGTTGAGCACTCACGACACCTCACATTGAGAGGACTCTCAAGACAGAACTCACTTCCTCATCGTAAGAAGCAATGAAGAGGATAGATAAGGATGAGAGCAACATACCTCATAATGCTGACCCCAACCACAAATTTCATACCAGCAACCTGACGTGCATTTATGATGATCGGTCGACGCCTCAACGCAACCCACAATGCGATGCAGTTCCACCTCGACTGAAATTGTCACGTAAGCAAGCTCTCATCATCCTGTGTGCACCCCTATGTTGCCACACAGCCTTCCTGGCGTGCCCACACGACCCTGGGCCGCCTCACACCAACGCACAAGTGTTATCACTGCCCCACCACTATCCAACGAAGCACCAAACAACTATTGCAAAGGCCGCCAACAGAGCGGTTCGAACGAGCTCCGATACCGAATTGCAAGGAAAATGAGCAATAGCGAAATGACAGATTCCAGATTGCAAAATCACATTGAAAGCCAGGAAGTCCGACACTGTCCAGAAAGCAGAATTGTACCGATATTACACCAATGGAGAACCAAAACACTGAATCCAATTGTCAATGAGAGCATACTCTCACCACCACCAACATAAGTATCCAGAGTCCTTCTCCTACTTGGCGCTCGGCGCCCATACTACTATCACGCAGCTACTACCTGCCTACGAATTGACAATGCAACTGTTGACATCAGCAGCAGAACCGAAGTACATGAAGATGTCGACCCTTGTAGACTATTGCCAAGACCAGGTACGGGCCCTCACATCATCATCCTCATCTCTCTCTCTCTCTCTCTCTCTCTCTCTCTCTCTCTCTCTCTATACACATCTAGATGTGTATAAGAGACAGTTGTAGACTATCGCCAAAACGAAGTACGTGCCCTCACATCCTCCTCTCTCTCTCTCTCTCTCTCTCTCTCTCTCTCTCTCTCTCTCTTCTTCTCTACACACGTCTCCTTCCCATACACGAAGACCACCACCACCTGCTGATCATCCACAGATCGAAGCCCGACTATGAAGGGCTGGGCTATGGTGCTTCCCTCAGCAGCGCCCTGCACCTGACGACGCTCGCGTGCGACCGCACGCTTGCATTAGCGCAGCTAGCAGCCTATGAGCAGATGCTCCAGCAGCGCTGCGCCCCAAATGCAAGTTCCTGAATATCCCGCCTGCCGCCCGTCCCTTTCCTATATGGAAAGTGGCGGGCACTTTGCTTTGTCCCGTCACGTGAGACCAAGTTTCCAGTACCTTCAGTCTCAGCCAAAGTGTCTGCGCCCAGGCCCATTCAGACAGTGGCCTGGGACCGAATTGGTTAGGCATGTCCAACCACCCAGGCACGAACGTGCGACGTCCCCTGCCTTGGCCACATTGAGAATGGCTTGGAAGGCTCACGAATCTTTCGCATTCTCACGTGCAGGGAGGATGTAACCAACTGTTGCGTGGCAACTGTCTGGCGCTGACCAAGATTTGCAAAAATTGACGAGTTCAGGGGCCACCTTCACTTAGGGCGGGCACATGCCTGATGCAGGGCCTGATGCGGTTATGGCGAGGGATCAAACCCTCGCAAAAGAATGCCTTTGCAAAAGCTCGCTGGCTGGTTTTGCTATCAAGATATGTGAATAGGGGGCCTGCAAGGATCAAATTTGTGTGCTGTGTTGTTCCACGAAAGCAAGTCCGTAAGCGTTCGTCAGACGAAAGAAGAACTTCAAGTCGAAGGCTTGAAAGCACACAGAATTGGAGAGGATGGGGTGCAGCAAATAAGACCGAAAATACAACTATCAGTTTGAGAGCAGAGAATTGTCCGGAAACAACCTTAACTTTTCCCTCCAGAAGGCCAAATACCACTTCATGATGATGCTGGCTGGGCCACGTCACACAAGTAATTGCTGTCGATTGATGGAACTTGTTGCAAATAGACTTCTTGTCCCCCCAGTCATACCTGATGAGAGCAAAAGAAAGAAAAACGCAAGAAATCAGTGCTTGAATGGAGAGGCGTTGCAAAAATCAAAACCATACATTGATTGCACGACAAGTAATTGAGCAGAAACCAAACGAACAACAAGAATCGACATAATAAAAGAATATTCAATTAGAACAGCAGTTTTGCAATACGAAATCCAATTTTCGGTCATTCGCTCCCCCTCTATGTCTAATATTAATTCATATAAGCGGCAAAAAGCGCCAATGAGTTAGTGATATGTAAACAAAACATAATGTCAGTAACTTGACGTGTGAGACCAATATAATTTTTACGTCTACTTTGCACTGGGACTAATAGGTCCACTAGGTGTGGAGTCTGCGGACCTCATAGAATGAAATCTGCAGTGTTGTGCTGGAATATGACACCAAAGTGAAACAAAACACTATCGTCATAACCCAGGCAGCTGCAGCTAAACGGCCATAGTAATGTGATGAGAAATGGAACAGAGAGGAAAATGCGGCGAGATTATTTCTGCATATCCTTACCCCAATTTGTAGATGAAAACAATGTTGTCACTCTGAGCAACGGCCAACTTTGCAGAGTCTGGAGAAAAGGCCATGCCTCGAACCAAATATGTCCGTGGGCCCTGTCCAATAGAATTCAAACCAATACAAAACAGTGGCAATGAAAAACTTGCCTGACGAGGAAGAACAAAACGCAAACGATAAGTCACAAGAGATCCACGGATGAACTAAGGGCTGGTAGGCCTGAAACTGACCACTGTGGCCTGGACTGGGACGACCTGACGGAAGAAAGTACGAGCCAAACCGGGCCAAAAGAAGGACACCCTAGGCTCCAACCAACCAGTGCGGTCCAGGCGAGTCAGGATGTTCCCAGACCGCGGCCTCCAGCGAGTCCGAACTTGTGATCACCCCAGCCTCTGGTATATGGTTGTGGTCAGCACAGCCAGCACACACATTCTGGCTGGCTGCCAGTAGACAACTAGGAGGCCAGTGCCCGCATACCTCTGTGTGTGTGTGTGTGTGTGTGTGTGTGTGTGTGTGTGTGTGTGGGAGAGAGAGAGAGAGAG